TCTTTCTTTTTCTCTCTCTCTCTCTCTCTCTCTCTTTCGTGGAAGAAGAAAAGAGGAATAGTGATAATCATAAGAATGAGAAGACAGCAGACACGCCATGAGCATACAGTTCTGGCGCTCCGTGCGGAGTCCTTGGATCCGCGCTGGGCCCCCCGGGCGGCGCCTCCGGCGCCGCCCCTGGCGCGCTCCGCGCGCCGGGGAGGGGGGTCCAGCGCAGGTCCGAGGAACCCGCGCAGAGCGTCAACATGTTTATGCGCATGCAGCTGTTTCTTCTTCCAGTTGCTGCAGGTCCCCGGGGCCGTGCACGAAAGCTGCCAGACCCCTGGGGAAGGGGCCCAGATCTGTCTTGGGGGGCGAGAAGTGGCAAGCGCGTCAGGGCGCGGAGGTCTCCGCGCCGCTGCCTTGGATCGGCGCTGGGCCTCCCATCCCCAGACCGCGCAGGGCGCCAGGGGCGGCCGTGCTCTCCCCGCTTCCTGGGGCCCGCGCTGCGACGAGGCCACTGCGTCGGAGCTCTAGGGCAGGGGGCCATCCGGCGGACAGAGAGAGAGCCTGTCCAGGCCCGCGGTGGCTTCCCCCGGGTCGATGCGACTTCGACTTCGGTGGCTTCCGACTTCGATTCGAGTCGACTCGGGATCCCGATCTGGGCTCCGATGTCTGCATGGGGGCATACCAGCCTGCCGACTTCCGCCGATTCGACTCTTCCCGACCCGGCTGCTGGCTTCCGCCGATCCGATCCACTTGGCATCGCTCGGACGTGTGTGTTTTTCTTCGGCGAGGACCATCGAGGAGCATCCTTGATCATTTTGACGAAAAATCCACCACGGAACCGAAACACACACAGGGAATGGAGGTCCGAGCGATGGCCAGTCCATTTCGATTGCCGATCCGACTCGTCGACTCGACTTGCTGGGCCCTCCCGCCACGGAGGCGGTGCCGCGCCTCCAGGTCTCCACGGGCTCCGCGCCGGGCACAGGAGGGAAAAAAACACACAGACACAATTCATCGTCGATTCCCCAGAAAACATGGGAAAATATGGGAAGTGGGGGGGAAGACAAACGCCCAGAACATATGGGGAAATGTGGAGGATCCTTCTATTTGTGTGTACTTATTGTGTGTCCTGGGGCCCCTTCACAGGCCCTCTGGCCCAAGATCGGACGCTGAGCTCGGCGCGGCTCCCGGGAGAGCACTGGGGGAGGCAGGGGGGTCGAGGGGTCGAGGGCAACGATCGGCGGGCATGGGTGGGGGCGCCACAGGCGAACCCTACCCCTACCCCCCAGGATTTCTGAAGGGGGAGGCTGGGGTTCACTTCGCTCGGGAGCTCCCGAGCGAAGTGAACCCCACCCTCCCCTTCAGAAATCGTGGGGGCACCCCTCCGGGGGCTGGTTGGCGTGAGAGGAGGAGGAGGAGGAGGAGGGGAGGGAGGGAGGAGGAGGGGGAGGAGGAGGAGGAGGAGGAGGAGGTGGAGGAGGAGGAGGAGGAGCGGAGGAGGAGGAGGATAGGAGGAGGAGGAGGAGGAGGAGGGATGGAGGAGGAGGAGGAGGAGGAGGAGGTGGTGGGAGGAGGAGATCATAGGAGGTCGTGAAGGAGGAGGACGGGGGGAGGAGGGGAGGAGGAGGGGGGGGTGAGGGATGGAGGGAGGAGGGAGGGAAGGAGGGAGGGAGGGAGGGATGGAAGGGAGGGAGGGAGGGAGGGAGGGATTGGGGAATAGGGAAGGGAGGGGAGGGAGGGGAGGAGGGGAGGGATGGAGGGAGGGAGGGATGGGTGGGAGGGTCGGAGGAGGAGGGAGGAGGGGAGGAAGAGGAGGAGGAGAGGAGGGAGGGGAGAGAGGAGGAGGCTTTTCAGGAGGAGGAGGAGGAGGAGGAGGAGGAGGAGGAGGAGGAGGAGGAGGAGGAGGAGGAGGAGGGAGGCGGAGGAGGAGGAGGGAGGAGGAGGGAGGTAGAGGAGGGGGAGGACCGGAGGAGGAGGAGGAGGAGCGGAGGAGGAGGAGGGGGGAGGAGGAGGAGGGGAGGAGGAGGAGGAGGAGGCGGAGGGGAGGAGGGAGGAGGAGGAGGATGTGGAGGAGGAGGAGGATGGGAGGAGGAGGAGGAGGAGGAGGGAGGAGGGAGGAGGGAGGAGGGAGGAGGAGGAGGGAGGAGGAGGAGGAGGAGGAGGAGGAGGAGGAGGAGGTCGACGGCAACGATCGGCGGGCATGGGCGCAGGGGGGAAGCATCGGCCCCCCACTCGCCCATGCCTCGCCGCTTGGGGCCCGAGCCCCCGCGCGCGCGCCCTGGGAAGGCGCGCGCGCGCTCTCCCTATATCGGGGGGCCCGTCGCCGATCCGTCGTGCGTCGCCGATGTCAAGATGCAGGCGTCGGGGGTGGACAGAGCCCCCAGCAGTGATATGTCGATTCGTGAATTGTCACTTGTCTGCTTTCGGTTCTCGAGAGGGCGCCATGGCCGCTATTTTCCATGCTTGCGCCCGCCAGGTTTGGACCTCAGGTCGTTTTCACTAAACCATGTTT